TCCCCCAAAACCGGCCCTGCCCCCCCCGCCCGCCGTTCCGGAAGAGACAAGGACTGCAGGAGGCCGAGGGGGGTGGGATGGGTTTACCAAGTGCAGTTACAGCCGGGGCCCAGGGCCCCTCACGCCAACCGGCACCGCCCCGCGTGGGGCTGCTTCCCCCGGTCCCGCGCTGACGAACATCGGCTCTGACCCGCTGCGGGTTTCGGACCAGAGCGTCACAGAGCACGGCAGGTGGGGAAAAGCAGCACCTCCTCCCCCCGGGGTATCGCAAACCTATGGAAAAAACTTCCGAACTTTACAAATAGGAGACGCAGAGCTTGGCACGTATGAAGTAAGAGCCTCAGGCAACAGCTTCTGCGCGGAGCCCACCCGCGGCAGCGAATGGGCAGCGACAGATCAATAAGGCAGGTTTGCAGTTAATGGGTTAACGGGAACACAGTCGAGTTCCCCCTGGTTCCCCAGACTGCTCCAGCCTGGGGGCTGCTGTTTGGGCCCCTTCTGCCACCGTCCAGGCTAACCCCCTTCACCTCGGGCTCAGCCAGCCCAGGAGGTGGCTCTGGACAGGGCTGCAAGAGCCCAGCGGGTCACGAGAGAAAAACCACGGTATTTTCAGGGATCCTGTAGGCTTCGTGTGAGCCCGGGATCACCACAGGCTCAGGCACGGACCCTACTTGTGCGTGGGACTATCGCAAGCACCGTCTCTGCCAGGGAGCTCTGCATCTGCAGGATCAAACGAGCGATGCTGCCTCTTGCACCTCCTGACCTCAGCACAAGGCAGAGTGTGACAGAGCTGCCGTGCCTACGTTTCCAACCCTTGAAAGATAAAAGCAGTCCCTGCCTGCTCAGCCATGGCCCTCTCCAGCCCCCTCTGCTGCAAAACCAGTGGGAAGGAAAATAAATGAAGTCTCCACCCCAGCGCAACTGACCGACACCACTTCGAAGTCCAACACCCCTGACTAAGGGACTCAGAAGAGGTGCAGCAAAAATATCTCACGTGAAGCTTTGTAAAAGCCAGAAGGGCAGATCTTAGACTACAGCTGTGCCTCTCAAGGAGCTGGGGGAGGCAGGCACTCAAGTCTCCTCTGCTGCTCCCTGCTTGGGCCGAAGTCCCCTGAAGGGATGAGACTGAACAGGAGCTTGGCCTCGAACGCTGCCTGGAGGCTTTGGCACTTTTCACAGCTGAACGCGCTGCCAGATGCAAGCTTGTCGTTCAGGCCCCTTGGCATGTGAGAAAAGTGCAGAACTCATGCATAGTTATAAAGCTAATACTGAGAAACATCCCATAGGTAATTAATCTCACTAGAGCAATTAGTGAAGCTACACTGGCTTAGCCCAGAGGTCCATCTAAGCTTAGTCTGCAGCCATGGATGCAGACAGGAGGGCTGGGGACAGGGTAGTCATGACCCCCAGGTTCCTCCCAGGTCCTGGAGCCCAGGAATGAAAACACTCCTTCCAAAAAACCAGCTTTTCTCCTCATTTGATTTGGTTCAACAAAATTGTGCTTTAGAGCAGAAAAAGCATCACCAGCCATAGCTGTTTGCAGCCATCTATTGAAGATGCTTTGTCTCCTCACCTATCTACAGGAATATGCTTTAAAAACCTTATTCATTTAACCTTTCCTTCTCCAAGTTACACTCACTCTGTAGTCAGGCATTGGTACAGAGTAGGACCAACTGCTTGGGGTGGTTACAGATAAGGGACAATGGTGTTCTGTCCAAACAGTTCCTTTGGAAAAATCTCAACATTTCCTTAGTGCTGCTGGCATTTAAAACTGCTCAGTTCTCAATCAGTTAGTGCTCTCCGGGCAACGCTGAACCTCTCGTTCCCGAAGGGAACTTTATCATGGTTCATCGTTCAGTGTGACTTGGCAGCTCACAGCAAAGACGGAGCATTTCATCACCTCTGAGGAGATACTGGGAGAACAAAGCTCTCAAAGCAGGTGGGGTGGGAGCCGCCTTGGGCTGAATGGGGTGGGGGCACTACCGTGTCCCGTAGCCTGGAGTGCACGTACTGCACTGGCGGAACTAACTGGCTCTGGCCCCTAATCCCCGTCCTAAATTAATCCTCGCCTGATGTCTCTGAGCTGCACCATACCTCTCATACCCCGATCTCCATTCGTAATTTCACTGGGTCAACCTCAGCACCTCCCTCAGATGCAAAGAACCTGAATAAGTGCTTTCCCACCATGTCACACGGGGTGCTGGGAGGAGGCTACTCCAGGGCTTAAACCTCCAGTTCAAACCTCCTACATTCATGTCTACACATTACCAGCTACAGTCCCATTATGCCATCGCTGTCAGTAAATGCCACTGTGAAGAGCTGGCATCCAAGCCACAGGGCAGCTTACAGCTCAGAGCTGTTGCTGGCCAGGAGGTGTGGAGGACACTGGCTACCAGGAGCGAGCTTCCCACCTGCACTGGATTCTGCACCCTTGCCCACCGGGCACAGGCGCTCACCACGAGTGTTCGGTCATAATGGCAGTGCTGTTCTCCATGATTCAACACACAGTCCAGTCCTTGAGATCAGGGCCTTCCAGGTGACGCCTGGTACAGCTGTTACGTGAGTTTGGCCACAAAGTCTGAACAGGAACTGGAAAAACATGAGGGAGAGTGGCAAACCAAGGTGTATGCACTGAGAATGTTTGTAGATTCAAGTATTTTCACTCCTGTAAAAATTTGCCTGAACTCAAAAGGGCAGGTTATGTAAACTGGTATCACTTGAAACTTGGCCTCAAACCAACATCCAGAGCAAAGCCCCAGTCCTGGGACTGTCTGCATCTCAACATCAACGTCTGCCATGAAGATGAGGAAGAACTGCTGTAATCAAAATAGATCTCTGAAGTCTTTGGCCATTTCATGGGGCCCAATCGTGGGGCATTCAGGTGCCTTTGTTTTTAGGTCTGCAGGTATGGTTTTGCTCTTTGCAGTCCCTCCTTCAAGAACTGGAGGTAAGTTGCAGTAGAAGGGTCTTCAAAATTGGTTGAAAAACTGAAGATGGTACTTTCAACATCTTCAGGCTTCATAGAAGTAATGTCCAGGAAGTAGTTGGCATTGATATGGTGAACCTGGGAAAGAAAACAGATGAGGACAGGAGACTTTAAGGGCCAGAGCAATTCCCCATCCACTGCCTTGGCCTCTATCCAGGACACAGATGACAAGACTAACAATGCTTAAAGAATCTCTTAATGCTTTGCAAATGCTAATTCAGCATCCAGGATTCAGGTTTGCATTTTACAGCAAGAGAAAGATGTGTGAAAGACAACAGTCTGTTTCTTCCCCCAAAGGGAACTGACCCCTCACTTAGGTTTTACGCCTGCGTGATTCTTCCCAAATCACCTTCATCTTCTTCTTAACCGATCTCTGAGCAAGGGCTGGGGAGATGGCAGCCCAACCATGCTGACTGCTGGGGTGTGTGCTCTCAGCCCAGCATAGCTGCAAAACCAGCACCTGAGCTTCAAATGCGTTCTGCTTCAGAGCTGCACTTCAAAAGTGCTTTCTGCTCCCCCACGGAGGTGGGAAAGGGGAACATGGGGCCACTGAACACAGCAGCCTCGACAGGCTGTTACTCACTGAGCTGAGGCCACTCATCAGCCCACAGCCTCGTGAGAGGCTGAGCTTCTAAAGAGACAGCAAGGAGTCCCTGCACGTGTCACTAGCTAGCATCTGGCAAGCGTGGGGCACAGATTAGCCCTGGCAGGATCCTCTGCTACAGACAGCCCAGCCGCTGACACACGGCAAAGTGCCGCACTGTCAAGCATCAGGAACTGTTGTCGTTCTTCAAATCCAAGGCAAGGGGCCTGTTGGGGAGCACAGCAGAGCTGAAGCGTGTGGCCTTGCTAATGGCTGATGTGCTGTGACAAACCTGGGGAATTGAGGGAAAGAAAAATGTGCTAGAAGGTGCTGATAAGAAGAGATTTTCTCCAAAGTATGAGCACAAGGGACAACGTGTGCAGGAAACAAGTTAAAACGGCTTCCCAAAGGTCACCGTCTCCAACCAGGGACAATGAGGAATCACAGGCAGGCATTTGGTTCAAGTCTGATTGTTTCCCCTCTGGCCCAGAGCTGCTGCTGTTCTGTCTCTGAATAAAAAGACATTTGTTTCATATTTCTTGATAGAGCTGCTGTCTGTCTGCCACAACATCCCTGAGAGCACAGCACCATGAGGGACTATAGCCCCACAAAGGGTTGAGGAGCCAGGGAATGGCTGGGGGAGAGGATACTCCCTTCAGGGTCTGCAGATGACCCTGAAGAGAACATGTTCTAATGGGAAGAGCCAAGCCCAGCTGAAGGGGTAACAAACATACCACCGTGCCGTTGGGGAGGCAGATGATCATCTCCACAGGGAAGTTGTATTTCTCCAGATGCAGGTCAGCCAGCTTGCTGTAGAACTCATTCTCTCTGTTGGTCTGTAAGGACACCCCAAAGAAACATGTTTGCACACACCAAAACTAGCAGAATGGCACAGGAAGAGTACACCAAACACAGGAAGAATGGAGGGACCGAAGGGCTGCTTTGCAGCATGGTGGTAACCGGTTCCATTCTCATGATCTGCTTTACTACTCCCTTTCAGTCAGTCTCCCTCTCACATTTCAGCTCTAGATTTTCTCCCCAAACAGTAAATCACCCCACCACTGGCAGTTCCCAGGCACACCAACAGTCTGATCCCAGCTTTTCCCAGAGTCTCCAGCTCTGTGACTGACCCCAGCTGACAGCACAGGTCCAGAGACAGGCTCATAAGTGGGCAAAGGTGCATATCAGGTGACTCAGGGTTCAGACAGTATTTGGTTGCTCTCTGGGTTACAGAGAAATCAGTTTGCTGATGGCACAAATGGCCTTGGGCAAGGCTATCTCACAGTGAAGCATCTGGTTTAGCTTTTAATACTGGCACCATGACAGAGCAAAGGGGGTCATTGTGCCATTTTCTTAGCCTGCCTCCATCTGGTGTTGCTTGGCCCCTGCAATTGCTAGGACACCGGAGGGCTTGGAACTGAAATCCCGCGCTGGCACAGGTGTCAGCTCCCTCCTCCCGCTGGCACCCCCGTGCCAAGCGTTGTCTGCGTTCACCAGTACTGAACACAAAGGTGGCAGATGTGGCTGTGACACTCACCTGCAGCTCTTCCAGCTCCTTCACCAGTGACCAGCTGCTAATGAAGCTCTCATTCAGCAAGGCAAGGATGGGCGAACTTTCCAGGACGGTCTCCCGGAGAGTTCGCCCCGAACCTGGCAGAGGAAGACAGACAGACAGTGGTTTGCAGTGTTTCCTGAGCTGGCTGTTGCCATGTTTGATGCCACCGCGATACCACCGCTCTGGTTGCTGGGGCAGCTGGCTCGGGCTCCCCCTGGCCCAGCCCATTGTTTTTTTTTTCTCCTTTGTTGCCAGTTCCACAGCTTATTGTTTCCCATGTGTGCTACTGGCGGAGAAGACTCAGCAGAGCAGACCCCAGCCACTTGCAAGGCCACTGAAGGACCAGGACAAGCCTGCCATGGAGGCTGACTGGTGTGGCGCATTTAGGAAAGGACCAGGCCCTGCGGATCCATCCTGAGTGCCTCTTGCTGTTCACACCAAGCAGAGCCTACACACACGTGAGAGTTTTTAAGGGGAGAAAGGACTAAAGAAATCGGCCGCTCTCCCACCCATCACTCCTGCTCATTGTGGTATGCAAGATCTTGTGCGTGGCAGGGGGAAAGAGCTACACATCAGGACAACCCCAAGCCCACATCTGGCTCTGGCTTCTCCTGTGCAGGTGTCAGGGACAAAGCAGAGAGCAGTGTCCCTTTCACCCTGCAGATGCTGCCTCTACCCAAGCAGACTGAGAGGGGAAGAGAAAAGAGAAAGATCAGACCCATGCTTCCACCTTGACAAAGGCACTTGAATTAGTGAGTTGGTCTAGGGCTTCTCTCAAATAGAACTGATCCTGTCATTGGGACCTAAACTCTGACCAGTAATTCCTCACTTCCAGCCCTTTTCTATTCAGCATCTTCAGTGCCAAAATGAGTAACACAACATTTACCGCTGGCTTGTGACCAGCTCCCTGACCCCCAGCTCTTCTCAGAGCCTGAATGAGGCACATCATTCCTCCAGCCACGCTGGGAAGGTCCTCACCTCAGCAGGACTGGTCATCCAGGGCACCCCACAGCAGGATTGAGTGCACCAGCTTCTTTTCTGCTTTTGCTCTCTCAAAAGCTTGTGTGAAGGGAAGATAGGAGACCTGGAGGCAGAGACACAGCTTGAGAAATAGACAGAGAACAGCCCATCTCAAATACAAGCAGGGTCTGAAGGAACCAGACCTGCCACGTCCCACAGGTGACACACAGAGTTTCATCTGCAATAGTTCCTGCAGATTAAAGCAAACGACAACTGTGGTGCAATCCCCAGAGACAACTTCATCTCCTGGTGAGACTGTAGCGAGCCCCTCACAGCACGTGGGCTGTTACCGGCGCCTACAGAGCCCCCCACCTTTACACACTGCAGAGAGCATCTGCACAGCTGTGGGCAGGACGTCTGCAAAGACACCTCAGCAGCCTGGGAAATCTGGCCCTGAGATATTTATTACAAAACCTCACTGAAACGGCCTAAAAATGGGCTGTGAGAGACCCTGCACAGAGATTGTTCCAATCACTCAAATGAAGGGAACTTTATTAACATCTTGGCAGCTCGAAGGGATATTTGTAAGCTCAAGCACAAAGAGGCAGCCATTGAAACGTGTCCCTTCAGCCAAGGAAGCAGTGACAGGCAGTAGCCATCTGCTCCACAGGCTACTGGCATGTTATATAGTTTGGGTCACCCAATCCTATAAATTTGTGTCTCACTGCGGGATGCAGAAGCACAGGCGGATTGTGTGTTTTCTGATGATAAGGAAAGCTTGGTCCAAAGGTAGCTGAACGTTGCAAAAGTAACGCCAGAGGAAATCCATTTGTAAGCAGCGCGATTACCTGCCTCACTCAGAAATCGCATTGGCAGCTACTGATAAGAGGAAGGAAGGATGAGCCTGCATTTACAAGACAAGCCTGGGACACATGACAGCTTTGCTCCTGCCTGTGCTGCTGTGCGACCCCAAACGGCCTTTCAGAGATGCTGTACTCCTTCATCTGGAAACTGGAAGTCCATCAAGCCACACACAAAGTGCCTGGGAGGCACACCTGAGCTGGGAGACCCTTAACGCTACTCTGAATGCTGATCAGGTCGTGGCCTCTGGTTTCTGCTGGTCCTCGAGGTGGCTGGACATCTCAGTGAAGATGACCTGCCCCAAATAAACACGCCAAGGAAGAGCCCAGCCCCTTCCTCACCTTCTTGAATGGATACATGGCCACTTCCAGCTTCTGGGCTGCCTCTTCCCAGGGGATTTCCTGCTGCCAGGTTATCTCTTCGAACACAAACTGAATGGGCTCCCCTGAGGGATCCCTGCTGTCAATCACATTTCCGTTCTCGTCATGGATCACAGAGGGGATTGAAGGCCCTGTCGATTCCAGCTCCATCTGCAGGAGAACAGGCTGAGTTGGACATTGCAGACATCCCACTCCTGGTTTTTCTGTACTCCAGGACAGGATAACGATGCAAAATAAGACTGTGCAGCTTCTAACGAAGATACAGCTTGATCTACTGTCTCCTGGAGCTGCACTTTACCAGCTGCAGATATGTTTTACTGGAGAATAGCAGGAAAGCAACTTCATTTCCTTCAGTTACTGTCTGTGCTCGCTAGATTGGAAATGCATGAGACCTGTTCACTCCGTGTTCCCACCTTCCCAGTGGAGATTTTTGACTGTGGGACACCAGATCCTTACAGTCATTGGGACCTGCAGGGCTAGCTGAAGCTCTTGCTCGGACCACCAGCACAGCCCTTACACAGCCCGTGGCTAGCCACAAGAGGGTGCAACAGGGAAAGCTGTTCAGGAGCTTCCCTGTAGTTCAGTGTTCTGGTACATCTGAAATTATTTTGTAAGTCTGTTTTCCTGACTTTTGGCCATTAAAAAGAAACATGGATCTAGTTTAAGAGAAAATGGGACTGTTAAATTCAGGCATTCAAAATCCTGGCTTATGTTTCCTGTCCCGAGAGCTGGGATTACCACAAAATAGAAGAATAACCTCATGCAGTTTCTAAATTCAGACACACAGTGTTCATGTGCCTCTGGGCTTGGGGCCTGTGTTCAGCTCCTAATCTTCCCCCACTGCCTGTCAGACAACTTTTTAAAAATGGAAAAAGTCACATGACTCTGGGAGCTTAGGATTCAACCCACCCAGAGGGAAAAAGTAAAGCATCACAAGAACTGGCAATAGGGAGATATTGCTGCAGAGGGCATACACAGATTAACAGAGACTATATTGCTATACTGAAATGTTCACGAGAAAGCTCTAAAGAACAGGGATAACTGAGGTTATACAGCTCAGGGCCTTGGCAGCATAAATCCCTGCTGAGATGCTGAGCACATACAGAGGACTGAGAGTGACTACAGACCTGAGGCAGGTAACCGATATCCACTTCCATGTTGCTGCTTTCACTCGCCCCATACAGCCACTCCATATCAACGTTCAGAGACCTGCAAGGTGAACCCACTATGTTCAGAGTCACCCATGGCTAAAGCTGTGTATGAGAAACTCCAAACAAATAAGAAGATCCAATACTCCTCTTGCAGGGTCAGCACTGAAGCCCAGAGCCTCTGGCTCCTTGGAGATCACCGTGTTCCCTGCACAGGACCAGCAACACTTAGATCCCTGCTGGATCGGGGCCCAGGCACCCTCTCAGCACTCTGGGCAAATGCGCTGACACCGCTGAGTAGTATGGAAGAGAGGAAGTATGGAAGTATGGAAGAGAGAGGTGTCTTTGCTCCCCCTTCCTTCCCAGTGCTTGACTTGCACATTCTGATCCCACTGAACTTTTTAAAGTGTTTTTTCTAGAAGCGAAAGGTTTTTGTAAGGAGTTGCTGGCAGAGCCCTAAGTGTCTGCTTGCTGTAACAAATGTGCTGACAGAGCCATAGGGATTGAGTCACCAGGGTAATGTTATAATAGAATTTTCACTCCAGCCGTCATGGGCAAAGAGATTTGAAGCTTCTTTCCCCTGAAACGCTTCCAGCTTCTTGCCAGAGAGCAGTAATGAGCTAGTGCAAAGCTATGCACACCAAACCTTAACCTGTGAAACACCAAGCAAGAAATACGTTGAAGCAAGAGCATCAGGCTTTGCTGAACTTCAGTGCTTTAAGCCAGGCACTGAGATTGCCAGGGGCTGCTCTCCACACCCTGCCTGTCTCTCCTCATCCTCCAAGTACCAAGGGACAGATACTGGTGAGTGTATCAGACCCTGAAATGGGTCATGGATCCTCAGCGACAAGTAGAAATGCATTTCTCAGTTTTACAGACAACTGCAGAACTCAATTCACTCAGATTTTCCAGGGACTTGGCTGAAAAGCATGAGATCATCCATCACAGGCACCCAAGGAGCTTTCTGCAGCTTGCAACATCTGCAAGAGTCCCTGCCACCTCCAGGGACTGCTGGGACAGGACAAGGGGAGCAGTGCTTGCAGCAGTGCTACTAGGGAAGAGGCTGCTGCTCATCTCTAGGGCAATATGAGGACAACTTAAATTCCTCATGCCTGTGTGTCTTCCCATGGGCCTGCAGGTACCTCCCTCTAAAGTGGTTTGGCACAGGACAGCTCAGGCTTGGACACTCAGTTGAAGCACGTGCCAGCTGCAGTCGGGTTGTGCAAGGACAACTATCCCCAACCCCAGGCTCCATGTCCCCAGTAACCTCTGCCCTGCTTCTCCCCTGTGCCTCCTCTGCCCTTGTCCTTCCCTGCCTCTTCCACGCCAGACGCCCTCCAGACCTGTTGATAAACAGAGCTATTCCTGAAAAATTGCATCAGAACCAGTTTAGGGAATAACTGTATCCAGAGAATTGAGGACATGATGACCGTGATGACTGCTGGCAGAAAAGGATGTGTGGGGAAAACAGATAAGCAAACAGTAGAAGTAGCCTGCCCAAAGCTGAGACTGCAGATCTGCCTTCCCTGCACGGGCTGGGGCTGTCACTGCACTCATATCTTCATATAAAAAGAGCCCCCCGGCCTCCCCCCATGTATGGCCCCTAGTCCTGCACAGGACAGGATCCCAGAGCCCCTGCGTTCCACTGGGCCTCCTTTGTAACAATCCTCAAGTCTGCTCAGCACCCGGGGAGAAACAGCTGTACCTGTTGTTAGGGACAAAGAGCTTAAACTCGCGGACATGGGAAGAATCCTTGGAGAGGATGATGTGACCTGTGAACTGGCCTGGGGAAAACCAGAAGGGGAAGTCTGGTGGCTCGTTCAGTTGGAACTCAGCGTGGATCCTGAAACAAGAAAGGAGCCATCAGCTGCAGTGCCGGGAGCAGTGAATGGATCATGCACTGCAGATGACAGCAGGGAAATTATGAAGAAATTATGAAGCTAAATTGAGGCAGAGAGGTTCCGTTCAAAAAGCTTTTCATGTCACACAATGAAGAGAGTAAAAGACTGCAGCAGATCCCCTGGGTCAGGATCATCTCCAGTATTGATGCCTTTTGGAATTGGGCAGTAAAGTGTCCATCCAGGAAGGATGAATTACACTGCTGTTCCTTGAAACACAGGAACAGACTAAGACCACTTCAGCCTCCCTTGCATCTTGACCAGGCAAATAAAAGCTGTGTGTAACACTCCCAGTAAAACAAGAGAATAATTCCGCAGACTCCCCGCCTTGGAAAGGCATCCCACCAGCCGTTTAACCAAAATCTAACAAATTTCTTGCTAATCAAACTGTCCGCTTTCAGCCAGGGATAGCTCCAAACCAAGGGTGACGGAGAACAGCTGCTGTCCTGCATCCAGGCAGCAGTCCTTGCCTCACCAGGCACTCGAGCACGGGTGCCCTCTTTGGGCGTCAGCAAAGCATCACACATGGGCCAGAGCTGGCTGTGAACCACCCTCTTCCTCCAACTGTTTCGCCTCTCTCCCAGCCAGGACACATCTGATCTTGCTGGGGAACACGACTGCACGTGCAATGACATGCGCACTCTCTGCCATGAGCTCACAGCAGCCTTCTCCACTCCACTGAGATATGGAACCAATTCAGAAGTGCCCCCTGAATTCAGAAATGCCTTACCTGAACGCTATGGTGTAGTAGAAAGTGCTGATGGCTTGGATGCAGGCCACAGCTCCCTGCGGAGCAAAGCGGGTTTTGACAAAGGGGCGTGGGTGGAACATGCTCAAAAGCCTGTGGATTATGATCTAGACAAATTGTAAGAGAGGAAAAATAAGAACATTTCCTCTACTGCAGGTCAGCTGCAGCTCCAAAGTAACTCCCCACCAGATCAGGAAGGCAAGAGAACTGCTATGAGTTAAAAATTATCTCAGAGACCTAACTAATCACAATGCAAGGAGATAAAGCAAGAGACTGCTTTTAAAAATAAATCCATCTTCCAGGCTTTTTATGCTATTCCCATTGTTTACAAGTTTCCATCATCCCAGTTGGTTGAATGTCTGAGTATGGTAAACTGATCTATGAGGCTGCCTCCATCAATACTACTTAAGACTTTGAAAGAGTGGGCATGCAATCAATAAGCACACCAGATTGCAAAGGTATATCAACTATGTGATCACTTAACACCTACCCAGGCACCCTGGGGGACAGCGATATACATGCCTGGCTTTACAAACTATGTATACACGTTGTTTCACTTGTCAATGAAACGCTCACCTCTGGGGTGCCACTCGGCAACTGTTCTACAAGGCATGATCACTTCATCCAAGTGCTTTCTGAATAACCCTCTCCCCTCCCTGTCCAGGAAAGACTAGCCTAAAAACCCAAACACTTCAAACAAAGCAAGATGAAGTTACTCCAGTCAATCTCATCTGGCCATGACAGCCACCCAGAGCTTTTGCCTCCTCTCAGTTTTACCCCCAATTTAGGAGACTGTGCTCCTAGCTCTATGCTGCAGCCACCTTGCCCCCTTAGAAAGTCCAGGGAGACATAACGCAATAGCCTTGTCCTTCTAGGGATTCCTGCGATTCATCTGGGCTATAAGGCAGAACATTTATACAAACTACCTCTCAGGTAGATAGAAATTGAGTTTCACATCTCACCTCTTTGCCCTTGGGAGGAGGAGGGTAAAATCTGTTGTTGGAAAGATACCCAGTGAAGATGTTCAATTCACTAGGAATTATCCACCACGGATCCCCAAGATCCAGTTTATTCTTTGGAGGAAGAAAGGCTTTAAACTGCCTGGCAAGCATCACACTCCTAGGGGCCACTGGGGCAGTCCAATTCCTCAGCCCAGACAGAGCAACATGAGAAATCTGTGAACAGAAGACACTATCAGAGCCTAGGCTGGACTCTTCAAATGTGCAGTAGTGCTGATGGATATAAGTAGGCTTTGGAGAAGGGGGAAAAAAAAATATATCACATTTTAACTTCTTCCTACCACCCCAAACATCACTAAACAGTTCTGTTAGCTTTCAATTATTTGAGTAATAGGAACTGGGAGAGGGGAACATACCACATAACACCACTGCTTTTGGACTTAGCTCCAGGACAGCCATCTCCAGTGTCTGCTTCTGGCTTCCCGGGAAGGGCGTATTAACTGAGGCACAGTGCTGCTGAGTGCACTGAAAACAATGAAATGCTGCAGAAAGCCATGAGCTTGCTCGTCAAAGCAAATCCCACGGGCTTGAGCAAGACCATCTCCCCCTCCTAATGCGCTAGCACTTATTCTGGGTGATGTTACCAGCCCATTGGACATGTTTATACCAGAATTTCTGGCCACACACATCCTACATGATACTTACTCCCAAGAAACCGTCTTTGCTCTTTGTCATCGTTTCCATGACCAAAGGCTGGAATTTAGCCACGACGGACAACGTCTCCCCGCTTGGATCAGGCGTCTCCTCCTCTTCAAACTCTGAAATGGGAGCAACCCCTAGACAGAGGGACAGGAATTTAAGCAGCTGTTTCCCCTCCCTCCCCTTTTAAGCAATTGTGAAGTGATTACACATTTATCCTGGCAAATCCAGGACCACTGGGAGCTTCCCAGCTGTCCCTACACTGTATGCAGCGACAGAACTCAGGCCCACCCCAGAGACCAGCTTCAGCTGCATGAATTAAAGGGGAGCCCTCCTTTCAGTGGATGACTCTCTAAACCCCATGGCTCAGTTACAGAGTCTCATTTCACCTAGGAGGGATCAGAAGACGTGCTTTAGCCAATTCATTACAGCACAAACAACCGTCTGTATTTCAACTGTACTGTAAGCTCTCCTGTACATGATCATCACCACACTTCTTCCTGCTTGGCACCACCAAGAGACATTTGCCACATGCTGATACAGTCTCCAGACGTCATCTCTCACAATTGCTATCCGAGAGAGACTGCTAGAGACGGAGGAGCGTATGAATGAAACGCTGCGACTCGCTAATAGTTTTGGCCTAGCCTGGGTTGAGCTGTATTTGTTGCATTCACCCATCCCAAATCCCCTTTAAGCTTTAGACAAAGTAATTTACGGACTTTGCTAGTCCAGCAATGGGATCTTCAGTCTTATAAAAACTCTACTTTGTGAAAGTGATGTCTAGCGCTTAAGCCTTTTCAAAAACACGTAAAGCTTAGCAGCCTCTCTTCATGTAAATAAGACCCAAAACAGCATCCAGAAAAAAATAAGACATGAATAAAAACTGCTGAGTGCATTAACTTTGGCTTTTGCTTGGTCTGTGCAGAGAGAGCTCTGCAAGGTAGGCAGATACCTACCTGTCAGCTTCTCAGCTATTGGCTTGAACTCTTCTGGACTGAGGTACAGATCGTTGTTTGTGTCCAGAGAAGAAAAGAGAAACAGCCCCTCACTTCCCAAAGACTTCAGTGCCAGCTCCTAGTTCAGGAAGAAAAGGCAAGTGAGATTTCATTCCAACCTCTTGCAGAAATTCACTCCGGCCTCTCTCAGCTTCACAGTTAATTTGCATTCTTTCCAGCACACACACAAAGCCATCAAATTGAAAGATTAACGCCCCTTGGCAGGATTTTGTGCTATTTACAATAGGGATCGGTGTCCAGGAACTGTTGGCATGAGCATATTAAAACTACATCTGGCTGAGTAATTCAAACGGAATCATTTGCTCAGAGTCGGCCTCAAAGTCTTTTGTCAGAAAAATTTCCAACTTTTTCCAGATATTTAGCCCTAAACCCGCAGATACTTGGGGCACCTGGAGATTGTGATTTCTGTAACTAACTGATGCACAGTGAAACAAAGGCAGTCAAATACAGGACTACCCACATGACCAAAACACAAAGGACATGAACTGAGCCCTTGTAACTCTGCAGAAAGCAACTTTATTTAAACCCGCACTGAGATCCATGCCAGCATTACCATGCACAAATGCCCTGCTGTAGCCAGGTTCCCCTCCAGGTCTCCAGCCTCAGGACTGGATGGAGCGTTTCGGCCCCTCACTCCGCAGGGAGCACTGCCCACCCATTCAGCCGTATGCTAGGAACCCACAAATCCCATGGTCTTCTCCAGAAACTTCTACAAGATCCCAGCCACCCTGTGTCTCAGTTTCTCCCTCTGCAATACTTGGTGAGGCAGCCTACAAAGCCTACAGGGAGATCCTCCAATGGAAAACACCACTGAAACGCAATGTCTCCCTTGGAGCAGCCCCAGAAAGGCTCTAGATCCTTCTAGTCGTTTCTGCACCGCAACACTCAGCGCTGAAGGGAAAGGGACAACTTGCAGGCAGAACAAGAGAGCTCCACGTTGGTATGAGAGGAGGAGAGAGACGCAGCAAGTCAGACAAGCCACATCACTGCCAACCAGCCTGCAGCGCATCCCCTGCGACCCATCATTTGAAGCAGCTTCTCCTGTCACCCCCATAAAAGCCTAAAGCTGCAAGGATAAATACTCTGTATTCTGCTGTTTAACCGTGTTTATTCTCTATTGCCTGCAGCACCATTACCATCCCCAGAGCTCCTGAACTAGTTTATTTTCCATCTGTTGCCTGCCAGCCTGAAGCAGCACTAATGCAGCCTGGAAGGCTTTGCTCCTGTCAACTACAGCAACAAAAGCACTTAAGAGCCTTCCAGGCCAGTTTCAGGACTGAGACAGACAGAAATAAAGGCCCTGGAATACAAACCAGAGAACTGGACGCAGACATGGCTGAGGAAAGACAAGGAGAGGAGCACGCAGGAACTATGCAACTGAAAAAAGGAACGAAGGTACAAGATGGTTATTTATCCACGTGCAGGAACAGCCCACTCTGGACTGTCCATGTTCCTGGGGCCAAAACTGCGCCTTTGTTCCCCAAATGAATGGGGATGCACATCCTTGGCCCTGTAAATAATAGGTAACGACATTTTCCTGAGCAACTGCCTTGTTCCCTGAGAGCCAGGTGCCAGGGTCATGTCACGAAGCCTTGGGCCAGGCTCCAGTACCCCTCTCAGCTCCAGATCTTGCTTGTGCATGGCACGTAATGCATTAACCTCATAAGGGCCCGTGTGATTGCTCGCTGTCTGGGTGCTGGCTCACGACGCAGAGAAGCGTGCAGGGAGCGCACAATGGCTTCCTCTGCAGAGGAGGCTGTCCTGGATGTGTACTGAGCTCTGAAGAGACGGTCCGTTTCCTAATCCTCTCCACAGCGCATCAGCGATTCCCTGCTGATGAATCTTTTAGAGTCTCTCTTCTTTTTGCACTTCACAGACATGGACCTCAAGGGAGGGGAGGTAAATGAGCGACAAAGTTTTTCCTTGGTTAGACCACCTGCTGCTGTAGTATTAGGAAAAAGTCATGATAATTTACTTAACAGGGCTGAAGGCAAAAAGAGAACCAGTTATACCCCACACATACAGAAGAACATTTCTGACTGTATCTAAGACAGCAGAACGTGAAGGGAGGAATACGGGTGCCTGGCGTTGGAAGTTAGCATCCAAAAATCAATCTGAACTGAGCGCACGCTCCCATCCCCTCAGCCTGCACTTTCACATAGGTTAAGCTATGAAAATCCATCAGCTGCAGAACCATCAGATAATTATTCCTACAACCACAACTGGCCAAAGGTAGGGTAGCTTTGCGGTCAGGCAGCTTATATGTGTGCACACATCTCACACGTGTGCCAGCAGCCAGCTGAATGCAGCCTGCCTGCTAACAGGATTGGTACCGGGCTCCTGCCTGCTCCAGAGATGCTGCCTGCTCCAGACGACGCTGCCCTCCCCAGAGCTAGTTAGAACAGCCATTTCTCCAGCAAAGGCACGCTCCAGGCAGTACTGGCATAGCGTATCAGTGCTGCACAATCCTGCAGGACAGAGCACTCCCTTTGGAAATGTACATTTCTACATGCCCAAAGCATGGCAGCTCACTGGCAGCATCGCACGAGCCCCTCTGCACAGCCTCACTCATGCCGGGACCACGGGGAGCGGCTCACCGGGCCAGACATAAGACCCCAGCCATGGGGGAACAAAGACTTCCACAGAGCACGCGCCAGTCCTGCTGCTCTCAGTCAAAAGCGGTGATAAAAATTACATTTAAAAGGGGAGAGAGATGTCGAGGCTTGGCCTTTTGCTTTCTGATAACATTCACATTAAAGAAAACTCTCCAGAGGTTGAATTTTTTTTCTTTTCTCTTTCTAATCTGGGATTATAAGAAATAAAAAGTTTCCCTGTTTGTGCCAGAGAAGTAAGACTGAGCTTTTTCAGTCTTTTCATACAGGAGGAGCGTTGTGGTTTTCACAAAAGAGTTTTCTTCTCCCACCTGCTTGTGGGTTGTTTAGCTAAATAAACATTTCCAAAGAAAGAGACAAGACATATGTTTTAAGCAAGATGAAGGAAAAATAAAAACCTTGGGCTGTTCACATTTTGTTCTCCTCTCCAGCAGCGCCCAGTCACAGCCGTCTGCCCATCCTCTAGAAAAAACAAAACCTCTAGAAGACCTGGCTTTTTGTCAGGCAGGGCTGAGGTCCTCTCAGCCAGCCTGTGAAGAACTGTCCTGACCCTTCTGTCCCTGCCAGAAGACTTCTTCTAATTACAGAATCACAGAATCACTAAGGTTGGAAAGGACCTTCAAGATCATCAAGTCCAACCATTAATCCAGCGCCACCATGTCCCCTAAACCATGTCCTGAAGTGCCACATCTACACGTTTTTTGAACACTTCCAGAGATGGCGACTCCACCACCTTCCTGGGCAGCCTGTTCCAATGCCTGACCAACTCCTAATTAACTCATTAGCTCCTAATTAACTCATTTGAGTAATTTTCCCCACTTTGCAATGCAGGAACAAAGAAAGAAAAGAAGCATCCTTTAAAAACACTTGTCTTTTTACTGTAGAAATATCAAGAACAAGAAGTCTGCTCTCTCCCATGAACCTTTTTAGGTGTTCAAGGATGCACACTGAAGCGACGAGCCAGGTAATTCTCCAAAGCATGCAGCAGCCACTTGAATTATACAGATCAAAACCAATGTCAATCAGCCTAATTTTAAAAAAAAATCACAACAAAACCCCTAAAAAAAAACCCCTTCCCGTTTTTCATCTCACTACAATCCCTGTGGCTACCTCAAGCCTGGTGTCTACCACAGCTCTACAAAACCTCAGCCTGCCAGCAGCCTCCTCAAGCCAATAGCCGCTGGCGCGTAGCAAGTACCACAGCCCAATGGTCCTCTCAGCCTGGTGGTGGCCACCACAGCCTGGCAGTGGCCACCTCAAGCTCCACAGCTGCTGACATCTGCTGACCCCTACAGTCCCTACAGTGGCTGCCAGAGCTTTGTGGTCCCCACACCTGGTGGTGGCCACCTCAAGCTCCATATCCGCTGATGCCTTGTTGGCCCCACAGCCTGGTGGTGGCACAGCCCAATGGTCCTCTCAGCCTGGTGGTGGCCACCACAGCCTGGCAGTGGCCACCTCAAGCTCCACAGCTGCTGACATCTGCTGACCCCTACAGTCCCTACAGTGGCTGCCAGAGCTTTGTGGTCCCCACACCTGGTGGTGGCCACCTCAAGCTCCATATCCGCTGATGCCTTGTTGGCCCCACAGCCTGGTGGTGGCCGCCCCCAGTGGCCACTTCAACCCCAGTGGCCACCGCTGCCTGGCAGTCATCTCAACTTGGCCATGGCCATCTCAATCCCAGAGGCCACTGATGGTAGTCCTCTCAGCCCAGCAGCGGCCACCTCAACCCCCGGTGGCCACCTCAAGCCCTGTGGCCACCAATGCCTGGTGATCACCTCAAGCCTAGTGGCCACCTCAATCCCACTGACCACTGCTGCCTCAGCCCACCTCAGCCCAGCAGCGGCCACCTCACCCCCAGTGGCCCCCTCAACCCCGATGGCCACCGATGTGTGGTGGTCCCCGTAAGCCTAGCAGCGGCCCCTGTGGC